ATGTATCTATACTTTTATAACATCAGCTCTCCGCGCAGCTGCATGGGAGCAAGTTACATCAGTCTCACCTTAACCCAGAGGCTTGACGTGTGGTCCGACAAACTGCATGAGAATACCAAATGTATAACCTTCACGATGCACAAGAAACACGGCATAAATCCATCTTAAATTGTGGGATCAGTTTGCGTAGACAACTTTTGTTTCAGTGTTCCAACGTTGTTTACTGCAGTGAACGTCAAGGATGCACAAAATACAAAGCCGGGACAACAATTCCGCATTCTCCCGTAACGTGTGGCCGTTGAGGCTGCTGGCACTCGATTCGTGGAGCGCCCGGTTAACGCTCCTGACGGTTTTTTCCAGCGAACGTCAAAGGATGTAAAGTTAAGCTGTGTGGGCGTTCGCCGTCTCGTCCATATGCGAACATCTAAACCACTTGACGCTTTACGCTGTCTCGTTATGGCAGAATTCACAGGTGTGGACCAGGCTTATCATAACTACCAGACATAATCTTACGTCTACACGGAAAATTTGATTGACCTGTTATACAGTTCGTTACTAAAAGAACTCCGCTAAAACAGATTGGGATGAAATAACATTTAAATATAACAACAATCACAAACACTAGCATTGGGCTACTTTCTATTATCGGTACGACACGAAAAACTGAAGGTATATACACTTGAAACAAGAAGAAAAGTGGTTCAATTATTTTTTTTATTCACATCGATGCCATAATTCGTAAGCGAAAATTCTGCATTGTTGAAGCAGGTTCCATTCCACTTTTACTGTGACCTTTATTATTTTGATGTTCCATTATACAGTCTACATTTTGTGTGTGTGAAAATTCAGTATAAGAAACATGATCATAAAACATATCAGTTGGACTTTATATTCCTTACTACGGTGTGGAACAATCTATTAGTCCTGTCAAGGTAATTGGCCTCCACATTCACATTGAACCCACCTCACTATGTGCCCAGGTCTTAGTGGCGTCGTAGACATTAATACTGCGAAAATTTTACCGGTTTTATCGCCGATTCAAATCGGTATTGGGCTGCCAGAAATAGACTAATGGCTGAGAGGCCTAAGTCTGGCGTAGGATATAAAAAGGATTTTTTATTATGGAACCCACGAGAACTAAAAACTATTGACCAAGTGTGCCCCTTATAAAACAATTTGGAGACCCCTGAAATTGACAGACCATAGGCGATGTTTGTAGTCAAACCAGCAAAAGTAACCCAAGTTAGAATAGTTTTAACGCAGTTTAGTTCTTTCTCGCTAAAAAGTAATGGGTTTTCTGTTTAAAAGGGCGCTGTTCAAGAATACCATCCATAATTGACAATACTGCTTCTAAGAAGTACGACTGTATACTGATTGGTGTTCATGGAATGGCCACTACAGATAAAGATCCTAAGAATCACTCCACGCGGGGGACACGGATAACGGGTTTAAAATACTGTCCAAAAGCAAACGTTTGACATCACTTGTTGATATAGTATTATTAACTAGATGGCTTACGGGACCCGAAGGTTCATCACTGAATTAACGAAAGCCCTCCACGACCCTGTCCTGGATCAAATAGAATTACTAACTAGGTTAATCAGCTTACCGCGGGAAATTCATTCAGCAACTGTGCAGCTCATAAGTCCACGAATTCAGTCAACTGTTAACACCATCAACACTTCAAACACATTTCCCACCTTTTTGTAGTATTCCCTATCTTGTCCAAATTACAAAGAGCAATTTTATACTCCTATAAATAACCACTGTCATTAAAGTAACAAATCTGTCATTAGCACATATCTTCGATTCGTAACTTAACATCATGAGTATAGAAAAATTATCACAGGAAACACCGAAAACTACACTTTACAGCACGCATTCAAAACACCTGCGCCTCTCTCGCCACAATCCCAGGCCCTCCCCCCCTCACCACGCATTCATGGAAACCTACTGCTAAAGTTTGTTAATTAAATCCCGAAATACATTAAATATGTTCAATTTAAATCACAACACGGTTTAAAATATTGCAATGTTCAGCCGCAGAAAACACAATAATCACTGTTTTGTTTCAATTCAAATGGTCTCCAAACTTAATCACACATTTCGAACGTTTCCTGGAACAAAGACTGAAATAACATTCTAAAGCCAACACAGAAGCGTCTTATTATCACAAAACAAATGACTGCAGCAGCGCTGTGTGCACAATTAGCACTCGGGGCGAAACAAAATGCGCTCGTTTCTTGCAGCCCAGATGTCTCATGCACCAAACGAGGCTACCCACGCCAACTCAACAGCAATAATCGACAGTTTGTGCGTACGCTACGGCCACGTGCATTCCACTTACAGTACCTTATATGAGTATACGCTGCGTGTCTCCACCATGCGGGGTGAATTTATACTAATGCAGCTTGACGGTGACTGGACTGTGCGGCCTGGCTGTTGGGCTGGTTCTGTTGCCTCTTTCCTGTCCGCTCAGTTCACTCGTGACTTCAAGTCATCCTAATTGGGTAAAGATAGTAATATCAGTAACAAAGACTGTTTAGAGGCACGAAACGTCCACCTAACGACTTTCTCACTTGGCAACGACATGCACAAGAGTCTGTCATTTCCATTTTAAGTTTGGTGCCTTTAATTCTTGGTTTTTCTGCCCGTCTCTTTTCCACACTTTGTTCACTGTCTACTTGAAAAAATGTTCCGTATCATTGTGGCCTTCATCAGGTAAAATCCCTGCTTTTATGCCATTGCACTAACGACCTCTTCCCCAATGTTCAGAAATAATAACAACATTTTTTATAATTTTGTTGATTCGGTTAAAAGTTAAAATGCTAATATATAGTTATTATTATTTCTGGATATCGGGAAGGAGACATAGAAGCAGGGAACCGAACTTTATAATGGCCAAATAAGTTCAAAATATTATGCTCAAGTGAACAGAGGGGGTGAAAAGAGACGGGCAGAAAATCGAGAATTCAACGTAACACACCGGGGTGCTGCTTCCTTTATTTTGGTCTCGGGTCCCTGAGGAAAGAAGTACAAGCTCAGGCCACTGCAAACTTCAGTCCTCACAGCAGGGGGCGTTTTCGTATGCTCCTCACCGCGTTACTCTATAGAGGTGGAGGTTAAAAGGTGACGCGGAGGTGGAAGTGAGTGATTAGCTCCAAGCTACGACCGCCTTACGTTCAGAGAAGAACCCTCGATATCAATTTTATATGCGGTTGGGTGGACGCCAGTGGCAGACTTTCCGTGATGGGAAGAAGACAATTTTTCCCTCGCCGGGAATCAGACACAGACCGAATTATACAATGCCTACATATTTTACACACAAAGAAATGTAATGTTTTTAAAATACTAGAGCAGAGCGCTCCTTTCGGAGCGCCTCGGGGCGGGGGGGTGGGTCCCGTTTGTAAATGGGGGGTTAACATCTCCGATGAAAGCTGCTTTGTTTTATTTTTTTCCCTACTAGGCCCCAACTTCACCCCCTTTGCAGTCAGTCAGTTTTCAAGAATGCGATGTGCTGCTTCTGGAGCAGCGATCATGCGACTGGCTAGATAGTTTTTGTTGTGAAGCGTTATTTGTTTACTCGGCATT